CTTATTAACAACCTGCAATATGAAAATGGCACACCTTGCTGAAAATGAGGATTTGAAGAATTTGCTGATGCAGATCAAGGATTGCAGCCTTCAGTATGGATTACAACTCAGTGTAAAGAAGATCAAAATATTCCCAACTGTATCAATAGCTGAAATTATAATAAATGATGAAAAGGATTTTGTCTTGCTTGGATGCACAATCAATGCTCATGGATGTTAGAAAATGCATCGCATAGAGTAAATCTGCACAAGATCTCTTTAAAGTTTTGAAAAGCAAGGGTGTTACTTGCTGGACTTAGATGTTGCTGATCCACACTATGGTGTTATGAATAGCTTCATATGCATGTGAAAGTTGTACATTTAATAAGGAAGACTGAAGGAGAATCAATGCATTTCAATTATGGTGCTGGCAAAGAATCTTGAAAGTTCCATGGACTGCCAAAAGAACTAACACATCTGTCATGGGAAAACTACAGCCAGCATACTCCTTAGAGACGAGGATGGTGAGCTTTGGCTTCCCTACGTGGGCCATGTTGTCAGGAAAGACCAGTACCTGCAGAAAGACACCATGCTTGGTAAAGTGGAGGGACAGCACAAACAAGAGGACAAGAGAGATGAACGCGGTGGCTACAACAGTAGGCTCAAACTTAAAAGCAATTTTGAGGATGCTGCATGACCGGACCACACAGTGGTTTGTCCTGTTATCCTTAGGGTCCCTCTAAGTTGGAACTAGATTGATTGTATCTAACAACAGCCTGAAAATGGTACACATTGCTTCTTAGTACCTTTGCTAGATTTTTTTTTTGTTGTTCACAATAACTGCAAGTGAGTCTAGGAAATGTAGTTTAGCAGAGGACCCAGATTAGCTGAAGAGAATACGAACTGATGAGCAACTAATAGTTTCTGCTACAGACGATCAGCAAATTCCAAAGACTTAGAGTAGGGTTGTAGGACAATTCAAGGGACAACGTGCCGGGAGAAGAGAGGTGAGAAGTAAAGCTCAGTGAAGTGGGTAGAAACAAGATTATGTAGGATCTTGAAAATAAGAAGTGGAATTCAAGAGTCTGTTTAGACTCACGAATACTTTTAAAATGGGAAGGCGGCTGTTAGGCACTATGGAGCTTTTTCCTGTTATAGCTACCCTATGTGCATTAGGAAGAAACACTGCCCAGTTCTCTGCCATCCTCACAATTGTTACTATGCTGGAGCCATTGTCAGTTTATTTCCTTGAGAGTCTTCCTCTTTTTAGCTCTCTACTCTATCAAGCATGGTGTCTTTTTTTTCAGGCACTCTCCTCTCCTGATAGCATGGCTGACCTAAGTGAGCCAAGGTCTTGCCAGTCTTGCTTCTAAGGAGCATGCCGGCTGTGCATCTTCCAATTCAGATCTGGTTGTTCTTCTGCCTACCCATGGTCCTTCCAATATTCCTCCCCAACACTGTAATTCAAATACATACATACACCCATTTTCTCCCATCTTTCTTATTCTCTGCCCAACTTTCACATACATGTGCATTTATTCTCTTCAAAATTTTAAAGTTTTGTGCAGCAGACTGGCCCAATGCAATGCTCTGTTTGATTTCTGGACTGCAGATTCCATGAGCGAAGGATGCAAGCAAAATGAAATCTTGGACAACGTCAATCTTTTCTTTTTATCACCTCTGGAGGTCAAGTTATGAGGATTTGGATTTTTAAAATATCGAATTGTAATCTATATTGATGGTTTCAGTCTTTGATTTTCATCAGCAAGTGGTTCAAGTTCTCATTTTTTGCAAGCTAGTTTGTGCCACATGCATATCACATGTGGTTCATAAGTCTTTTCCCAATTCTGATGCCACATGTGTCTTCAAATTGTCCAGCATCTCAGATTATTTGCATACAGATTGAATGGATATGATGAAAGGATGTAATTCTGGTGCACAGCTTTCCTTATTTCAAACCACACAGTATTGCCTTGGGCTGTTCATACCACTACATCTTGATTCATGTACGGGTTCCACATAAAAACAGTGAAGTGTTCAGAATGTCCATTCTTTTGAATGTTTTCTGTAGTTTATGAACCATACAGTCAAATGCCTTTGTGGAGTCAATACAATACCTTTCAGGTGTTCTTTGGGTTCAGATAACACCTCTCTGATGTCAGCAGTGATTATGGTACTTCCTTCTGAATTAGACTTGAATTTCTGGCAGTTCTCTGTCAATGGACTGCTGCAACCACTTCTGAATTATCTTCAGCAAAATTGCCTGTGATATTAATAATACTGTTGGATAGTTTTTGCATTCTGTCACTTTTCTTTGAATTGGGCACAAGTACCGATATTTTCCATTTGATTGCCCAGGTAACTGTGTTCCAAATACCTTGGGATAGGTAAGTGAGTGATTCCAGAGCTCTGTCAGTTTGTTGAAACATTACAATTAGCACCTGTTAATTCCCGGAGCCTTGTTTTTCACAGTGCAACTTGAACTTCTTCCTTAAATGCCATCAGTCCTTGAACATATGCTGTCTCTTGAAATGGTTGGATGTTGACCGGTTCTTTTTGTTAATGTGACTGTGTACTCCATCCATCTTCTTGATGTTTCTTGCATTGCCAATATTTTGCTATGGAATGCTTTATTATTGCAGCTTGATACAGTTTCTCCTTTAATTCTTTCAGCCTGAGATAGGCGAATTGTGCTACTCTTTGTTTATTTCTTCATCACTTTTCTAACTCTAGGTCTCTGCCCTTCCATTAAAATACTCTACTTGGTCACCTCAAGTTTCTCTTCAGCTTTTTCACTTCACAATATGTTCAAGAGCAAGAATCTTCTGCCATCTACTTTGGTCTTCCTTTTTAATGGTCCTTTGCTTTCTCCATGTTTGATGTTCTATTGGTCCAGCTGTGAGGACTTTTGTTTTCTTTATATTGAGTTGGAATCCACACAGAAGGCTACAATCTTTGATCTTCACCAATCAGTGCTTCAAGTCCTCTTTCAGCAACCAGGGTTATATCACCTGCATATCAAAGGTTGTTAATCCCAATATCGCCTCTTTCACCAAATAGGCCGGCCTTTCAATTCTTAAGAATTCGCATTCTTCACAATTCCTAATTCATTAAGATGCACACAGTCAGATGTCTTTGCATAATCAGTAATACACAAGTGAACATCTTTCTGGTGTTCTTGCTTTCAGACCTAGTCACTGGCCTTGTTGAAACACAGTGTTCAATGAGAAGTACTCCTCTCTGCCCTTGAGATTTGTGCCTAAACCTGCCACTTCCTTTTTTTAGTACATAGTTCTTGGCTTTGTAATCCTTCTGTGTGTTTAATGCACACGGAAATACATTTTACAAAGTTAGAAGTACACTCTTTTCTGTTTGCCTACATGTCATTGCTCCCATTTCCCAAAATAGAGAATTGCTGAATCCCTCCACAGGGAGACACCATAATTGCCATTATATGCTGACATTGACTTTTAAGTCTGAGGTCGTCACCGAGTGACCCTATGGCAGTCTCGACATTAAGTCACTTTGTGGCTACTTTCACTCTAGAGACCTAAGACTTAAAAAGCAAATTATATGCACCCTTTACATCAGTATGCAATGTCAGAAGAAGTCAAGATAGCATCAGTAAACATTCTCATCTGGAATGGTGAAGAATGAAAGGGGCCCAGTACTCACTGATGTGCAGCAGTTCTGAAATTTTGCTCAGTATAGACCTTGTTTGGGGGTAGTGAATGTTACTGGATTCCAACTTGTTTCTGGGCCATGATAACAGCTCTTTCCTCTCTCCTCTTGTGGTACCCCAAGGCCCTGGCCCTGGTTTTCTCGCTCATTTACTCACAAATGGCATAACTTCATTATCTGGAATGTGAGGGCTCTCCAATTCTTCACACAGACAAAGATAAACATAAGTTCCAGAAAGGGAACCAGGAGCTTGATTCTTCTCTTTATGGGAGGATTCCATCTGAAAATCTTTCTGCTAGGATGCTGTGGGAGTTTTCACCAGATGACTCAACTTTTCTTTAAAAGGGAAAAGGACTGGAAAACCAAGTATTGATTCACTCAATTCCCTTCGACTAAAGGTGACACATATCAGCTTTGCTCATCTTTC